TTCAATTTCAAAGCAAGAAATGGGGTGGAGGAACGAACAGCTCAGTTAGGGACCGCATCCGCGGCCTACTGATCCTAACACGACGTACAACAGTAAGACGAAAGGACCAGCAGCCCGTGGAGGCGGTCCTAATTGAGGTCCTCTTTCCCATTCCTCTACTCCAAGAAATGTTGAAGAAAGGGGGGGGGTCAGCGTACGGTATTCGGGCTCACGCAACGAATTTGCAGGCCGGTGCAAAAAGTGCTAATCAATACGTTGCTATTTTTCTGTTATAGAATGATTTTTTGAGCACTTGTTGCGAAATTGCGATATTCAATCATGACAAATCTGCAAGACTACTAAAAAGGCAAACGCGTAGGTTAATAAAGAAATTTGAACAGTGGGGAGTGCAGAACTTCTAAAACGAAAAATGGAACAATATAGAATAAGAGGAACAGTAAAGACAGTTTGTTAACAACGAAAATGGTGATGTCAAGATGTCACCCACTTTCATACCTGAACGGCACTCAACAGGCCTAGTTTAATTATTGGCTCAAGCGCACCTAAGGGTCATGCTGTGACAATCATCTTAACATCAAACTACTGTAATTTCTTCAGTAGATGCAGCAATGACAGTAACGATCCGACAATATCCGCTGTACCTCTATATCGTCAGGTATGTATGAAGCCTTATATGGCAAGGAGCCTCATGCAAAAGCATGCAAGCGAGAGAAGTCCTCCACATAAGGTAATGTATGAAAATGGATATCTCATCCACGAGTGCATCTTCGCCGCTGCCGCTTCGGCATTCCCATTGATAGAATGCCAAATCAGTTTCAAATACAATTCTTTGACCAAACTGCACAGACCAGGCAAACGTTCTTCCCAATTTTATTCAACAAGCAAACGCATCATAATCCAAACAATCAAAACTCTCTATTTCTCCATTGCATGATGGCTGTGGGCGTCAAATCATTGACGATGGGAGCGCCAACGAAACTGATCGTGCGAGCGGGGCGCCTGGCTTGTAACGGGCGGCGCGCCATGTTTCCGACCGTGAGCTGCATGTATCACGAATGTGTAAGAGCTTCCATACTGCCGCACCTACCGCAACTGACTGTAGCTGACCGCACTGGTTACAGCGGTCGCAGCAGATGCTCTGTTCACATCACATGAAAGATCTTCGATAAAAGAGTTGAAATAAAAAACTCACGATTTTCCTAGACATCATTCAAAGTGTTTCGGCCATAATCGAGATTGTTCTTTATTTTTACGTAAACATGCTGCGATTGCTGCAGTCAGCTGCGATTAGTCCGGTCAGCAGTGATCAGTTGCGGACAATGCTGCAGTGAAACAACTCTAAGGACTAACACTAAACAAGACGCTTTCGCGCGTTTGCGTTGTTTTGAAACTATTATGTCGCGGAAGGATGTTTTGGTGCGTCGCATTGTCTAAGTGTTGCTTCTGCCGTTTTGTTGCTTCCATCCTTCAAGTCTGTGAGTTTTCTTTTTTCCGCTGCATAAGAACACTTATAAGCAGCTAACGATCCTTCACGATGGGTCGTTTCTTGTAAACGTATAAGTACAATGTTGTTTTTTTTGCCGCGCAACTACGCGAGCGGCCTGCTCCAATTATTAAAACAAGTTCAGCAAAACGTTCATGAGAGATCAAACAAACGGAAATATTGGTCTAAGCTTTTATAACTTAACAGCGTTTCTATTGAGTTTTGTGTCAAAAATAAAGTCCAGCTAAACTACAAAATTTATGTCAAGCCATGTTTTTACTTGCTCAAATTATAGATTTTATTGCCAAAGCACGGGAATGGGGTGAGGGGAGGGGGAAGTAGGGTTAAAGAATGAGAGTCCCCTGTCTTGAGCTGCGAATCACTTCACTTAGACTTCGGAGACGTGCTTCATGCCTCCTTCGACCGTCGATAGGTAAGAATTAGTAGCGGGGACTCAATGACAACAGTGGCATAGGTGCGTGATTGCTCGTGGCCTAACGGTCTAGCAGTAAGCACCTCATGCCTAAATGGGGACTTCAGAGCCCGACTCGTTGGAATATTTCACGATGATGCTCATGACGGTTCCGCAACATTTATAACGCCTCCTGAAGTAGAAGAAAGAAACCCCGAGTTGAGATAGGGAAATCGGGAAATCGCTGTCAACTCTGAGTTGATGAGCAGCTTCAAAACGGTTTCCGGCCAGATTATTACCAGCCCAGATCAACTAACAATTTAATTGATAAAAAAATCTAAATTTAAATTTTCTAAATTTAAATTAAATTCTAATTTGAATTCTAAATTTAAATTCTAATTTTCTAAATTTTTTTCTTCAAGAATTTCCAAAACTAGCTTTTAGGAAATTAGTTGAGAAGAAGTTGTCTGAGCAAACTGCAAGTTCGTGATATAAATAATTTGAATTTTATTAGACTCTATTTTACGAAGTTAAGGACTATCTGCAAAGCTAGGATAAGGAATTGCTTGCATAGGTTGAAAAGTCCGGAACATGAACACATGTTTGATGATACAAACATGAACACATGTTTGATGATACAAACGTCAACAGTGAGATGGTTAAAAAGGGATGAAGGCGGGGTATGGTGCAAGAGAAACGATAGCAATTGGCAGCCGTTGCTACCAATACAATATTTGTCTCAAACTGCGCTGATTTCAGACTTACAAATTTAAGTAAAGTTGGAATAAATGCTTCACTCACTGAGTTCTGCTCAGAGCACAGTGATAAGTGCAGTTTGGTAATGTTATTGCAAGGAAAAGTTTAAAACACTTAAATTCATTTTTAAAACCCTTTAGATATTTATAACTTAGTTTCACATCTTATCTCCACGCAAACAGAATTTATCGGATTCTCCTATTCAAATGAAAGTATAATAGGATTAAATGCTCTAGACTTTTGCATGCTGATAGACAAAAATCGCGGTAGCGATCCAGCGATCCTACACTATTAGCATGATCTCATCCTAAGGCTTTCTCAAAAATTAAATTGGAATGGTTCACGTAATCAAGGTTCCATAAATGATTGTAAGATGTGGTTCTTTCTGTCTCATGGCGACGCGGAACTAACGAGCAGAGAAGACTAGGTATTGAACTCCAATTACGCAGAATGCAGGTTTCTTATTCATCTCGTTTGTGACACAAGCCGGTTTGATATTATTCGCAACATCAGTCCTGCGCCTATTCAAAACTTTAAGCCGTTTGCAAGTTGAGTATTTGCAACCTCAAGTAAGTTGCCTTGGGTTGACAGCAAGGGCAAGCCTCAAAGTAGGCTGTTGATAAACTATTATTTTGATAATATATTTTGATAAAAAAAGTTTAGGGCAAGATGCAAGCATTTAGTCTCTCGTCGAATAGTGACACAATTGTCTGTTCTGCCCTCAGAGCTTGCCGAACGCGGTCCCAGTCAATTTTTCTAATTTTAGTCTCTTACAGTAATTTGATACCCCGTCGAAAAGTGGGTAAGGTTTCATATAGCTTTGACGGAAATTCCGCCAAATTTTAGGAAACAAAGAAAAATTCGTTTGAATTATCCTAAAAATTGAGTAAAGGCCCCTTTGAGCTATCTATGCATGCCAAGCAGACACGGCTTCCAATCTGCTAAGCACTGAGAAAAAATGAACCATGTGCTTTCAATAGACCTATCACGATGGGTGTGTTTTTGAAACAGAAAAAAAAATTTTTCCCACGAAAATGTGCTGTTAGGTTTTTTGTGCACGGAATAATCGCATTACAACAGACAAATTCAAGTATTGTTAAGAATACGCCCCTTTCGCTATAACAAACGGAGTGCAACATCTATCAAGGCAGATTCCTCTTCAAATTGGGAGGTACAAAATTTAGCCGAGGTGATGCCTTAAACTAATTTTTCTTACTTAAAAATAGCTTTTGGGAATGAAAGTGTTTCCGCCACAAAGCTAAAAAACTTGTGCGAGCTAATATGATTAACATTCTCCAAGCCGATCCGTTTGGCTTAGAAGGTCTTGAAAGTTATGAAATCAGCACTTGCTACAAGCTTAAACTCATCAGGTAAGCTTCTGAATTTTTCAAAAATGTGACATACATTATAAGAATATTATTGTAAACATGTGGTCTAAATTTAATGTAATACGATCTCTTTGCTCGAACAAGGAGGACGTTTTTTTTTACTAATCTTTGTTCCGAAATTTGCTCTCTTGCGAGACAATACGTTGGAAGCTGTTAGTTGCGTAGCATAACATGTTTTTCGAGGTGTGTCTGTGTCTTTATAGCATGACAATATTCTGTTAAAATGTGCCCCAAAAAATGTGTGTCTGTGTCTTTATAACATGACAATATTCTGTTGAAATCTGCCCCAAAAAATTACGTTCCAGTCCATCTTTATAGTCTGCAGGAGTGTTTTGACATGCTGTTTACAAATACATGGTCAGGGATAATTCTGGGGGTCTATTGAGACCCCCAATGGGAAAGGAAGGGGTCGTCTCCAGCTATGTTTTACATCTCTTGCTCCTTGTGATAATAAACTCGAATAGCAGGATCTCAAATAGTCGAACTTGACATGAATTACTACATTAGCTTTAACACTTGCCTTAAAAGCAGCGTCCAGGCAAATCTGAACATAAGAAGATCTTACGTGGAAAATAATCTTGACAATCTAAGACACTGCCCAAACGGCGGCTTAGATGGTGTACTCGCGGCTGGGCTAATCATCACCAAACCACACCTCAGTATCGTAGTAACGGACGACTTGCCTCATTAGCATAGTTTGATGTCCGATCTGTTAATTTCGCGCGGGTACTCGCCCAAAAACTTACAAGCACGTTGAGCACGTTGCAAGTCGTCCGTTGTCACGATCCAGGGGGTCCAGTTTGGGGGGGGGGGGCAAAAGTCTCAGCCGTGAGTATCAGTGAGGGTTCCAAAATCACTTTCCACGTGAGGTTCCCGCAAGTCCAGATTTGCCTAGACGCTGCCTTTGAGTAGTTTCTATGTCGGCCGACTTACAATCGTCACACCACGATCAGGTTTCAAATCAAATGCTTTATGTTTGCACCACTGCTTTCAAAGTACAAGATACAAAGTTGGAAGACAAAACCATCTTGAAAAGGATTAGTGATCATTCTATTTTTGATTAAACGTGTTCCAGTCCATATCCTTTGAGAGTGCGCAGTACAGGTGATAACCGTCTACAGTTAAGCATTGAACCAACGGAAATCGTTTGAATAAATTCTGCAAAGTAGTTATTGATACAGGCTAAAAGCAGATGACAACCTAGACAGGCAGTATTTGTGAACGACTGCATTGCCACCGCCGCTCTACTTAACATTTTGAAACAGCGCAGCGGCACCTCCAAATTCGCTACATATACAGTCTGACCCAATCCCAATCGGGCCAAAATTGGCATGGCGGAACTTTGCGCCGCTAAAGTTCTGCGTCACGCCTTGCTTGCCTGTTCCGTGTTCGATTCCGTCGCTCTCTTCACTAGCGCATATGTACTGGCGCTACGCGCGCGCAAATCTAGCAAGCGGCTCAGCCTAATCCCAATTGGGGCAGACTGTACACATGCAAAACACGTGACTGCCGCTGCAAGTCGTACGCGGCTGTAAAAGTTGATACGATGTTATGGTCGTGCAGAACACATACAGTATCGCCATCTGTTTAGTCACCTCACGTTACTGCACACAAAGGCAAAGTCATCTTATGCGGTTTGAAAACGTTCTGTTTTTTTGCATTTGTGAAGTATTCCGACAATACCTTACGCGGTTGGCAGTGATGAACCGAGCCGCCCTTCCCCCTCTCGAGAGTGATTGTCGAAATTTTCAAAAGTCGCTTACACAGAATATGAACGCCAGTGGTCGACGTCACGCGACCTTATTCAAAAAACTCCCCCCTTCCCAAACAGAAATGCTGGGACCCCCACTGCCGGTCTATATTACGTCGAACTAATACTCAACAAAGCTGTCACGTGTCGCTTTTGTGGGATACGCACGATGGTGAGGTGAATAGACAAATGACACCTTCTATGCACACAAGTTTGTTTTACGCATAAGAATTTTTTTCGCGTTCATTTGCAGCTCGTTCGTTGTTGTGTTCAGAAGTTTGAACAATTACAAAGTTCGAGAAAGTTGACAATTGTTAACGTTCGCACGCGCGCTGGTCAAATCAGCTGCATTCATCATCTTCCAGTTAACAGGAGTAATTTTTGTAATAGGGTCAGCCAAGTATTGCTGCTGCTTGTAGCTGCTCGCAGTTTGTCTTACCGTGCAAACATCATGAGTATGCACTTCTTGATTACATTTTGTGGCAAGCTTCGTTCCTGCTTCATGCCATGAAGTTACACCATTACTTTCACTAAATTCAATTAGTCCGTGGAACGATGAAATATATGGCTGTTAATCGACTGTAACTCACCTGATATCAGCCGAGCATATACGATAGTTAGGATTCCAACCTTGGAGGGCAAGTAAATGACCCGAGTGTTGTTTGAGTTTAGATTTCAAATACTCAGTTTTGGATGGTTCATATTTCTGAAAGAGTCAGCTCAAGAAGCGGAGAGATAACACATTTTAAACTTGTTAAGGTGCAGATGGTGTGGCACTGAGCTTTCTGAAACTATAATCTATACAGTACGACTTTGCGAAATATAGAAAATGTAATTCTCAAGCTACCGGTTTGGAAACTGAAGTGAATTGATAAAAAGGGTAAAGCTAACCAGATCCGGAATTTCGATTCCGCCGCCTAACATTCTGCAATAATGCTCCATTCCTCTTACGAGTCCTTCGTGAAGATTGGGTTTTTCGACGTTTATATCTTTTGGATCATAAGCAAAACAAATTGGAAAAAGCTGAAAATGGATTTGATAGATTACAAATTATAGCGAGTGAATATTATAAATAAGACGTTGTTCAAACGTTCACGGGTTTTTCAGACATATTTATCAATGCTTCAAATTACCTACTGAAAATGAAGCACTGCTTTTAGCTTGTTGCTTTTCACACGATGTTAATGCGCTATAGTTTGCGAGCAAAAACTACTTGGCTCTTTTTGCCACTGCCAATGTGTGTCTTTCACTTCGAAAGTTTCTTTGAGGTAACTGCCAACTTTGCCTGTGCAAGGACGGTTTCATCGCAGTCCACTTACGGTTTGCTTTGTTGCTATATAGCACCAGTGCGGTAGTACTATATGGCAACAGATATGTTGTATTTATGTAATAGGATGCATACTCTTTCAATTCTAGCTCTGCTGTGTATGGAACAAGTCTGTAAATGATCGCTCTGTTCCTCATATATTCAAATTGAGATAATCAGACAGTACCCACTTCATCGAGATTATTGCTTCATGCTACGTAACAATCATCTAATTGATCGATATTGTTGTTTTACGTGATTATCGTTAGCCTAACATCCATCACTTTTTTTTGAGCACTAAGCTATTTCACAAAAATATACTAAGCCAAACATATGGCCCTTGCATGAATTTGATGCGAGCGGTATTAACACAATTAATGGCGTGATTCACCATGATGGGTGGGTCAACAAATACCGCATAGGATTGACATGGTGGACCACGGTTCATGCTACCGATGAAATTGGGACAGCTTAGCGGTTGCGGTAAGTTTTCATGGTAAGGTGGGTTGAGGTTGGCAGCAGTGCTATTAAGATGCAAATCATTTTCCAAATTCTGGCCTAGGGTTATGGCATTAATCAGGGTCGAGCGTGAGGTCAGGCACACGTTTTCAAGTTAGCGACTCCTCCCTACACACCATGGCGTATTCGGTATTTTCGTAGAAGGGTTGGTGGGAAGAGGAGCCCTCGAAAAATATTTCATACGGCGAAATTGAATTTCAAAAAACTTCTAAAATTATTCCAATTATTCACAAGTATGAACAAGTTACTTGCACATTTTTATAAATCATATAAGAAACTCTGAAAAGTCTCGCAACACCAAGGCCCCCCGTCGGTACTCCACTGCTATACATCTATCTAAAGAGCTCCATTCTTCTCTCCCTCACCTTCAAATCCTCAAAACTTCGTAGTATGTGACATCCACAATGCAAATAGTCCTTACCAGAGAGTTCTTAATTTTCGGAGTTTCTACATCTTTCTGTGATTTCGACAGCACAACGCGAACAGCTATTTAACGGATAATTTTTCTTAAATATGAGATTTTTTGAGAGCCATAGCTTCTTTAGGAAAAGGGGATTTGCCAGATTTCTATTGCGGCAGGAACAAGGTTTAGGCTTATTACCCTTTACAAAATTGAAGCCGTTTGTGGATTGCGAAAACAGCTTGACTGAGTTTCTGAGAAGGGAACGGTAAGAAGCCGAAAAACGGCCGGTACATACAAACTGCATACCGTTAGATGCAGTATGAAGCTGACTTGAAATCCATCTTCCTTATCTGCTGATTACTTGTTGTGGACGAAGCTGGAGCCATTGAATGACATTATTTCGCTAAGAATGCTTGTAAAGGGTAAATTTGGCCGTACATAGCCATGGTCGTCTTAATGCTGGATTGAAATATGCAGCTAGGTTACTTCACGTGGCCCATATCCATAGTTGAAAAAGGGCATTATTATGCTTAATTTGGCACGATTGCAAACGTCGATTTTTTGCAATAAATCTGCTCTTAAGTTCTCCTGCAAAGGCGAAGTTAAGAGCAGAAAGTGCCAGCGAAAGCAGCAAGAAATTGCAACAATAAACAAAAATACCGCAGATTGGCAGAACTTCTGAGCGACGTACGTTATATAAAATACAACTTACAATGAAGAACCAGCTCAGGAAGAACATCATGGTGTGATCACACGATTTACATCTCCCCTTTTATAAGCAACTTCGAATAGGCAGTTTGATCAGCATAAAATATTACGAAACCTTGAATTGTTCAAAGCCAGACGGATCATGTGTACACATGATCATGGCACGATACTGCACATAGAACGTGCAGAAAACGTCCTTTTTGTCGGCCATTCCTGCATATTCATGTTGATCTGGGATAACTAAACAGTTTTACACAACCAATGCATATTATTCACTAGATCAGCGGAAAACTCAAAATTGCCGTTCAAACCCTTCCACTCTAAAATTTTCGCTGCATGTCACCCCTCCTTGGCATCTAAAACTGAAATCTTCTCAAGTGGTTTCTTATGTACAAGTAAGAATTTAAGTGGTGCCACAGCATTTCACTGCTTTGATGGGCTAATACGGAATTCGTACTTATGTAAAACGAGGGTTCATTTTTACAGGAGATTCTCAGCTCTGAGCTAGTCAACTTCCACTTGCTTTCTGTCACGGTGATGCGTCCTTAGAAATTTATCACAAAATAGATTTCCTTTTTCAAACTTTTTGTACTATTACCATCATCATTCAGGAAATTTACATGCAGAAAAGCTATACTCCCTTTGTTTTTTGTATCGCTTTTTTTCGTTTACGTAAACTATCAGCAAGCAACCGATCATCGATTCGGTAATCTTGACTTGCAAGCATATCCAGCTATGTGAGTAAAGGAGTTAGATATCTCAACGTTTCTTGATAATAAGACAAAGATGCGAAAATCAACTTTGCAAAACTTTGCGCCAAGAGCAACATATCAATTTTTTTCTATTAAGCAACCAGTAGTATGAAATCATATGAAACGTGCACTAGGGTCAGACAGATGCGGTCAAGTACTCAAGCAAAGTTTAATGCTAGTAACGTCTAGCAAAGGATGGTCCCTCCTTGATATGCCTTTTGCCTATCATAGAACTTGAGTGAAGGAAGAGCTGAGAACCTGCACTGTAGATGTTGTTAGGCTCGAGCTACAAATGAAGCTTGAAACTATTCCATGTTTTTGCTGAAGACAAAAGTCTGGAAGGTTTGAAAGCTTTACCCGTAACTCGAGCTCATCAACCTCTGCAATGCTAGCTCTCAGCTCTTCCCTCAGTCAAGTTTCATTACGAGAAACTCAGGCCATATTGATTTAGCACCGTTTCGCTAAATGTGTTAGCGGTCCTTGATTCTAAATATTGGGAGCCACATTCAGTTCACAATAGCGACATTTAGTTTACAACAAGTGAGGGTATTCGACAAGTGATTCCCATGAGGTTCACTTGAAATCAGTGTTTCTTCAACTCTTTTAGAGACAATTTTAGGTGGGATGCAAATAGATAGACGCAGCAATGTCTTTTTGCCAAATACATCACTTCGGACCACATAGGCAACATGCTGAATACTTGCGAGGTTGGGTTATCGAAAGGTAACCAAACAAGTTACATTTATGCCGTTCATCTTGCAATCTGGTGGTAGCTACTCGACGTGACTGATCGCTGACTAACTACTACTAATATAACAGCCACAAGATGGACTGGTATGTGATGGACTCGTAGCAGTTGTTTTTGGAAGACTCGCGAGGCGATAAAATCGCGTGATGTATGTCCAGCTCTTGAGAAATGATAACATCCACATTTTGAAATCATGCATTGCAGGGGCTAAACAGAAATTCTAGAACTTGCACTCCTACATCGCTGTACTATGCTGTAGACTGCTGCAAGGGTAATCCGAGTTACAAGCTCTAAGTTCGCCATTTACACCGTATTCGTATTGCCTATTCAACTCTATGGATCATAGCCACGACTCAGGAATGCATGGCTCACCAACTTCACTAGAAAATGAATGTATGAAGTAGGTATATCAAGATTCTCGTAAAGTGAATTCGCTGTTTTTGCACGAGCACCACATCCCGAGGAAGAAAGATCTGTAAAGATACTGGTAGAGTTTTTCATGCTCTTTCAAACTATAAAATCCCATATTTAATCCACTCAAAGCTGATAAAACAATCAGCAAGCAAGTCTTTTGGCACAGTTTTTACTCTTCCCAACGTGCGTTTTCTTTTCCGATTTTTGAAGTCCTTAGGGATAAAATCATCACAATTTATGTTATCAAACGCTTCTTAGGCTGTATCCTGGGATTTGAGAGTTGATCATTCGAAATCGTAAACGCACAACTTTGTGAAGGAAGGAAAGATGTGTTTTGTTTTCTCAGGGCTTGCTCTACCTCCATGTTATTTGAAATTTTTCGGAAAATCAACGCAAAAATTCAAAAAAAGCGAAACTCGATCATGGCAAAAAATTTAGGTCCAGTATTTTGTAATTTGGGAACTTTCTGGATATTTAAAGAAGGACAAAAACTGCGCTGAATTTTGACATCATTTTCCAAAAATCTTCTCTACGTGTGTCGTGTTAATAAGAAAATAAATTACTTTGGTAACGATTTATGTACAGGGTTCCTAAATTGCAGAGTCGTTGGCACCAGCACCATACATTTCTACAACATCAAAAATACCCCGCAGCTGCGCTGCTCTTGATTTTCCAGTTCGGTTTGAAGATAAAAAATAACCATGTAAAACCTTCAGTGATTCTTTACTGCTAACATCGAAGCTAAGGGGTCCCAGAAATGGTTTCACCGAGTTGCACAGTAATCTTCCTCGAAATACAAGCGTATTTGGCAAAAAGTGATAAGTGGATTCTTTTCAGAGAATAAGAGGACATTTAAAGGAACCGAGGAATCTTTCTTCTAAAAGATTCTAAGCGTCCTTCCCGTGAAACAAGACTTGTTCATTTTTTCTTTTTACGGCCAAAAGTAGGTTTTTGGGGCATATGCTCTTAAAGGTGGTTAGGTCGAGCGAAAATTTTTGGTGAACCAAAGGCATCCTTTGCAAAAAATCTTTTTGTCAAAAACTCTTGAATGTTTTTCTCCAGAGTGGTTAAGTCTCGCTCATTCCTTTTTCTTTTAATGCATGCCTCCAACAGTGATCAATTGGTAAACCGTGTTAAAATTCATGGAACAAAAGTATTATTCGCGAAAATATCTTTTTTTGCTAGCTTAATGTTTTTCTCCAAAAGGACGCCTCACGCTTTTTTGGGTGGGGAGAAGTAAGGTTTTTATGTATGTCGAGCGACGTTTTTGAGTCAGATTGAGTGTAATGTTCTATGAGATAGAGGCTGTCGTCGAGCTATTGTAAGGGTAAGCTACAACTAGCGCATGGAAAAAGTACTTTTTGGAAAACGGCATCGCAATCATTCTCAAGTGACCATATCCCTGATAGAAGATCTACAATTACAGTATTGATCACTGTCATCAAAAAATTTGAATCTGTTGAGTATTATAGGGCTTCTATGCAAAGTCGTTTGCACCAGCGGCGCCGGCGCCGGCATTTTATTTTCTCGGCCTTTTCTTTGTTTTTTGCTCATCGAGCTCTCAGCGGGCCTCATCAAAATTTTTCGAAGTAGTTCCATGCTGGCGATCGGTCTCACAGTTCCTTTGTTACTCCTAGGTTACGTTTATAGAATTCTCAGCATGGCAAAAAAGTTATTGTGGCGTAGTCAATTCGGAGAGGTACAGGTGTGTCACTTACTCACTTGCTCACTTGCTCAACTTTATTGTTTTCTATGACATCAGAACAGTCTCTAAATGTGCACGGTTTTTGTGATTGTGCAAGTGCTAGTTACGGTTCGATTATTTGTTTCATTGCGCTTTTCTTTTCTTACACTCGAATAAAAACAGCAAGCTTTTTTCGCTACTGTTGAAAAGTCAACAAAATTCTTTATATGTTTTTTTGTAAAATAAAAGGATCACATTGTTCTGCTGTTTGCTAGAATTTTGGAAGTTCTCTGGAGCAGAAGTTGCAGCTGTATCGCATTAGCTTTGAATATAGCTGCAATTTAGGTGTACGACGCTCGATTCTTCATTTCATACACGAAATGGTCGGACTTTGAAGTGATTGCATCTGCTAATGGAAAGCATGATCCTGTTTCGCCTTTGCCCCTAGACAGGTAGAATATAAACACTGATCACTTCCGAGGCTCATCAGTAGGGGAGAGTGATGAAAGCGTCAGTGCAAGAAACTGGGAGTGTATTTGGTTGATAAAGTAGGGCACATAGGCCAAGATGATGGGGATAGGGGGGGGGGGGGGGAAGGAAGGGTCAAATGAGATCAAATACGTGTCAACTCATTATCAAACTTTTGCACAGACTTCTAATAGTCTTAAATTTTTGGATTTCTGGGTACTTGTATTTAACTTGAGTGTTGAATCTAATAAATTTTAAAAAGGCGCCGGTGATTAAGTCTTTTTTATAATAAATCAAGCTGTGTTACAAGTTGACTGAATCTAGACTAGAAATCTTTGACTTGTGTGCAAGTTCGGAATATTCTGAGTATTTCTGTGTACACTAATGCTATCTTTTGTTTGTAACTGAAATGTGAACGACCATGACTAATTTTATAAACTTAAAATCGAGACTGTCAGTTCTGTTGTATTGTTTGGTGCCTATCTCATCATTGGCAATCCTAATGTTGAGATCTAGGAAGTTACATTCATGTGTGTCTGTCTGTTTGGTTTTTAGGTCTAAGATCTTATTGTATGTGTCATGTAGCATCTCTGAAAATTTTTCATTGCTTTAGTTGTGTGTAATGAGGATATCCTCCATATACCTAAAGGGTTTAAATATGTTTTCATCTGTGTACTTATTTGAAACGTAACTGTATTACAGATAGAGGAGTGTTAAGTCTGCAGTTATTGGGCTAGCATTACCACCTTGGAGTACATCTTTGGTTTGAATGAATCATCTGTTTCCAAGTGTACAGTAACTATTATTGAGTATGTAATCTAGCACGTATAAGAGGTCTTGTATTCTTGAGGGCGTTGAAGTAATAGTTTTGTTTCCTTTGATAATTAGGTATTCACAGTTTGCATTACGAAAGCATATCTTTATGATTTCTCTAGTATTAGTCATGATAGTCTAATGTGATATGTTTGTGAACATGTCGGTAAGATCTCCAGATAATAATTTCAAATTGTTGCCTTGAATATT